AAAAATTTCATCTTGAAAGAAATGAACTAAAATAATTGGTACATCATCTGTATTTAATAACCTACTAATACGGTCAACCTAATTTACCTAATTTTATTTGAGGTTCCGGATCCTTATGAAATAGCCCATATGACACTTCTACAAAAAAAATTTCATATAAACTTTTATCACTACCAGTAATGTATCCAATCACATCACCAAATTTTCAAACTTCACGATCTTTGACTAAAAGACTTTGAGCTTGATCCCAGCATTTAAAAATTTTTGGAGAAATAAAATTAATAATAGAAGACAGAATGTCATGAGTGAAAGTTGATTCATTTATTAGGCTCGATCTTTCTTGATAATAGCAATTCGCCCATATTCTTTTGATATCATAAACTAATTGTTTGCTATCACTTATTTCTTCGTTTTCATCTAACCTAAGCTTAATATCTTGTTGACTGAACGTTATTTCTTTAACAGGTAAATCTATTGAATTTATTTGTTTCCATTCCTCAAGATTTTCAAGACTTTTTAACAAACTGGGTTTTAGACGTATAATATTTTCAGGGTCTATTATACCTGAATATAATGGATCGTCAACAGATAACTTAGCCTTTGTGTAGCAGATATATAATTTCCAATGGTCGATAACAATTTATTTTTATTTGTAGACCGCTAATGAAATTTATTATTTTAAGTAAATTCATTATTATAAAAATAAATAAATAAAAGATATAACTTACATTTTTAATATTCTGAATTGCCGAAATCATTTTAGCTATCCAACCAAAGTTTCTAATAGCATCAATTAAAAATAAAGTCAATGTGTGACTTTTTGTAAAATCTCTGCGAATTTCTTTCAGTAAATCATAATAAACTTTTGTTAAAACTTTTCGTTCTATTAAAAGAAACTGATTAATAACCAATACAGTACAATTTCATTCCTTCAAAAATAACCTACTTCCGTTAACTTTGACTTAATATTACTATCTAAATATTTTTGTTTAAGTTTATTATAAGCAGCTACGAAATTATTTTTGTCAGCATTTGTATAATTAAAAGTAAAATTTCTGTGATACAAATGATAAACTACATATTCATGATAAGAATATTTTTCATTATAGATATCTGGCATTTGACAGCAAAAGAATCAGCCACTTCGTTTCTCACTTATAAATTGATATTTTAATGCCTATGTTATTATCAATTCATGTAAATGAAATGGTAATATTGATATTTTTTTTAAGAAATAAAAAAAATAAGAATCTACATGTATTTCTAATTTTTGGAAATTTTGACATTTTTTTTTTTTTTTTTTTTCGGGCACACACTTTTTTTCAGTCCAAAATGCATTTGAAGTTTTTTTTCGAGCAATTAGTGCAAGGAGCTTTACCGGAGCACCTTATATGTCTTTTTCTGCACTAGTTACAAGCCATAGTAGCATGATTCAATGTTCTTCTATTTTGAAAATGGTTGCGATATCCAATTTAATTGCAACTAGAGATGTGACTAACAATACGAAATATAGGTGATTCTAAATTGTTGCATTAATAAGTTATGAAGAAAAAAAAATTCTTTTCAATGATTCACGGGATATTACATTTGAATTTTTAAGTCCCATCTCTAATTGCAATATTACCAATTTAAATAATACGATAGGCTCGAATCAATTCTTGGAAGAAAGTTGTTTAGGGTTTTAACATAATAATAGATAGGTTTTGGAAAATTAATCTTTGTCTCAAAAGAACGCCAACACGCGTATTCTAAATAACGCGCATATACTCAAAATATCGCACAGGTGGATATTAATGCGGTATATTGTATTTTAATGAGGTTTTTAATAAATAAAATATATTGGCACATTTGAATTTTTAAGTAGAATATGCAAAAATTAACTTTATTATGAATTAAAATTTGATTAGAGCTTGTATGAAATATAAATTTTCATATGGTCTTGTTTCTTAAGAATCATAAAAATAAAATTTTAAAAATAATTTTTTTATTAGTTCGGGTACTTTACATTTGGGATCGTCTTTCTGTGAATTTTTAATTTACAAAAAAAAATTTTTCCCATTGCTCATTAAACAAACCAAAAAATTTTATCCTAAACTTTAAAGTGATACTTACTTATTTCTTCACTATTTTCCTTTAGGTTTTTGTTGTAGATATTTCATAGTATGTTCATGTTTTAGTTCTTTAGCTTTTTTTTTAAATTTTAAACGTTCTTCTGGTGATTCATTAGACCATATTTCACCGATTATTTTAGAAGCTTTGTCTTGGGTGATGTTAAGATATATCTTTATAACTTCTGGTAATTTTTCATTCCTATAAATAATGAAGCAATTAGAGGGCTGTAGGGGTTTCTTGATCTTTTTTTAGACTTTTTATGATCGCTTCTGTTAGCAGGATTAACATCATAAGGAATAAAACGTAAAGGCATGATTGGCGCAAATTGGTTTTCTTCAAATTCCAAATAACTTGAATTAAACATGCTGTCGGATAATGCTGTATCGGTAGAAATGACAGGAGAACTATTTAGTTGATTTGCAGTAAATACCGGTTGAAGGTTGGTGTAGAACCTGATACGTCACATGATAAAATAAATGGAGCATCAATATCATAAAACATGTTTGGGATATTTTCCTTGGGCACCCCATTGTTAGAATCTAAGATGTGAACAATGTTTTTATTGATATCATAATTTGTTTCTTGGTTTTGTTCATATTTTGTCACAATTTCTAACAATGCAAAATGTTTGGGATTAGTACAGTACATAACCCGAATCAAATTGAAATTTGGTGAATGTTCGAATTAATAATTAATCGTAATACCTTGACACAATTCTACAAGTCTTAAATTTTTATAGACGTCATATCTTTCTCCTTGGTTTTGTTCATACTCGGTCACTATTTCTAACAATGCAAAAGGTTTTGGGATTAGCATAATTTGAATCAAATTGAAGTTTGATGAATGTCCAAATTAATAATAAATAATGATACTTTGACATAATTCATCAAGTCCCCTTATGAGACTGATATCCAGATAAACCATTTAGTTTGAAGGATATTTCTTTAAAGGATAGTATGAAGCTTTATTCCGCCAAGAGATGACTGAAAGATAATGAACTAAAGTTTTTTTTTGAAGATATTTATTTAGTGATGAAATTTAAATAACTCATATCAAAATATATGAATTGACCGATTTATTTTTAGTAACTGGTTTAATTCATTGTACAATGTTTAGACCAAAGTAAATGGCAAATTAAGTAATAGCATAGATTCGAGTATAATATATAAATATTGAAAACATTAAGAGAGCTTAATGATAGGTTTTAAAATAGAAATCAATTATGATCTGGCCATACATGATGCTGTCAAGCTATTTACTCTACTATTCTTATCAGATTTTTTGGCAGATTTTTCATGATTAAAAAAATCTAGTTTTATTAAAAAGGTAAATTATGATACAGTAATCTTATTTTGTAATATAGAGTCACGTGGTTTTGTGCATATGGTCCAAAAATGATTTTAACAGGAGGAACTATTAATATTACGACTATTTTAACCAGATGGAATATACCTGTATGTGTAACATCGACGGTTCTTTTTGCTAGTGGAACGTGTAATGATGGAGGTTTATGTAAAAAGGGAATTGGAGTTGAAAAGGATAAATATAAAAAGTTATTATTAGTAAGATACATTAAATTATTAAATTTTAATATAATATAACTTATACAGTATAACTTATTGCAATATTTTTTCGTGGGAATAAATTAATGAAGTACAAACAATACGCCCCATATAAAGTGTTATTTACATATAGGATAATGTTACATAACAGATATTGCAGTTCCCTTACATGGATTATGTTTTGCTATCTATTTATTTTTATTCTATTTATTCAATTTATTTTTTATTTTAATATTTTTTAAAAAAATTTTTCACTTCTTTATCATTTCTTATAATTTGTTTTAAATTTCTTTTTTGTTACGGCATAAATTTTTTTTATTGATCAGTAAATGTATACTGATTTTAAATCGATATACTACTACTGTTATTTATTAATTTTATTTTGAATGTAGCTGAGTATTAAAACTTTTAATATTATAAGTACCGTATTTGAATGTAATAATGCTGATCTGTGCTTTATTTTTGGTTATTTTGAAACATTGATGCGCTTACTTTGAGCAAGTATACAATTTTTTTTATCAAAATCTCGTAACACATGGGTGCAGCAAATGAATTTTTTTTTACATTGAACCTATTGAACTTCCTATTTCAACAAGATCACACAACAGTCATTGTTTATTCCTTTTTATATATCGATGTCGGATCCATTTTCAGAATTATATCAGATATTGCACAATATAGTTTGCCCTGTGACATGGCAAAAATATTATTGGTTAATCGAAATTTCTTGCAAAGCAAAATATTTTAACTAAATATTTGATATAGAACTCTATTGGCATGAACAGATGAATTACTACGAAATCTCACAACTCAAATTAAGAAATCATCTCAGTATAAACAGAATCTTTAATCCAAGATCTTATTTAAAAAAATACTAATGTACAAATTAAAAAAAAAAAACGTAAAACTTCCTCTAGAAGACAAAAAAAACAATTTTTAATTATATATAATAACACTAAGGATTTTAAACATAATTTTAAATTAATAATCTTAGACGTGACACTATAGTTTAATCTCCAGTAGATTTGCTTGATTTCTATTGACGGCTGCCTACATACTTTTTTATGCAAGAAATGAAAATTTCCTTCTCATGTTAGTTTTAATCTATTAGTTAGTAAGAGTTCTGAATCTTCGTGTCGTGTTCATGATTAGTTATAGTAAATATAAAAGACCATTCTTTTTCGTGTAGGAATAACCTAATGATTCTTATTTATTTGTTGTTGATGTAAGGAATTTTTTAATCAATGTTTTTGAATAAGCTATTCAAGCTCATAAATATTGATCCAATTGTTGGAAAACATTTAACCAATTGACTAGTTAACAATTAATTAGCCAATTAGTTGGCTAATTGATTAATTATTTATAGTTATTGTATGGGTTAGTGAATAACCCATATAATAACTATCGTGCCAATAAAGTAAATGAAAAAGTTGTTTATTACCTTTTTCCTATATCTTTTTCAAAGAAAGATCGATATAATGAATTTTAATGATCTGATTCAATTATTGGTTGCATACCCAGGTAAGAATATAAAATAATTTTTATTTTAATTAACGTGACTTATGTGATTGACGCGTTTAATTCTGAATAGCATGTTTAAAGCTTGCTTTAATTCAGGCTATATACACAAATTCTTCGTGACTGTCGCCCTGACAGGCCACTTCCATATACACAAACAAACAAGAAAACTTCTTCGTGACTGTCGCCCTATTTTAAAATCAGAATTATGACTGTCAACCATCTAAAAATTAGCTAAAAACAAATAACTGTTTTCACAACCGATCATCAAACAAAGATTTCTACGCTACTGCAAGGTCGTGTACGAGGGTTGGGTAGAGTAGGACGAAAAAACCAGACAAAGTAAGCATATTTTTATAGTTATAGACAATATATTTGTAAAATTTAAGATATTTGTTTTATTCAATTTTTCATAAATAGAAATCATTTTTGGGTTCGGAATTTGTCCAGGTTTTGCTAATAAGTATAGGTATGGGTATGGATCATTAATAGAACTTCATATTTGTCAGATGTATGTGGGTCATAATATGCAGCCTTTATTCTCTGACATATAGTTGTTAGACGAAACCTTTTTCACATGATGATGAAAGACGAATCCTAAACCCCCAAAGACGAAACCCCAAATTCTTCTGATGAAAGACGAAACCTTAAACTTAAAATGACGAAACCTAACACTCAAAAAACCCTAGTGCTTTTGCAAAAAAAAAAAAAAAAAAATACTGAAGAGAAAACAATCATTATTTTCTTTGAATTAACATTCATAATATTCAGAGATCAGTATCCGAAATTACATGTATGCCAGCAAAATAAACCATTTCATTTTTCTGGACAATGCTAGGGCTATTATTATAGTCCGGTTGAAATAGCCTTGTCAAAAAACCATAGTACTCATGAAATAACAAAAGTAATGAAATAAAACATATTAGCACAAAATAAATTTGTAATATTACAAAGTAAGCACCAAGCGATTTTTCACTAGAACTGATATGTATAATATAATATAGAATACTCAGACTTTATCTATTATGAGCTTATTCAATTCAGGTATATCTTACCCAGGTACTATCCGAGTATTATCATCTGGGTATTTTATCTGGTATTATTCAGGTAGTTGGGTTCACAACCCAGATATCTGACTATTTGCGGATAACCCGGGTGATACCCTACTCAGGTACCATCACTAGTCTCATCACTAGATGCAGGTACAAATATTTATAACAATAAATAGGTATATTTTAATTTACTATATTTTACTACTAAAATTTCTTAAAACTCCTATTACTTATTTTAATGCCATTTTTGCCAAGATAATTTTGTGAATAATTTGAGTATTTACTATAGTGAGTATATAACCAAATATATATATTTTAAACATAAGATATTTAAATTTATAGGTATATATTATATTTACTTTATACTTTAATTTCACATTAATCTAGTTCAAGTAGATATGTTAAATATTATTTAAGTAACTTCAAGAGAAAATGAAACTTTGATCATATAAATTCTGAATAATTTAAGTCACATTTCTTTTGGCATCACTGTATTAATTATATACTTTAAGAAAGTACAGAGTAAAATAAAGAATGTTCATAGTCAGTTATTTAAAACAAAGGTGTTTGCGAATCTTTGTTATGGACTTTCAAAATTAATATATTTTAAGTAAATAAAAATAAAATTTAGAATTATAAATGTCAAATTAAAACAGTGCATTTGGCGATTCATGTTTGGGTGTCGTCAAGCGAAACCCAGGAATTGTGAGTTTTCTGAAATTAATTTTACAGATCAAACCCCGAAAAATGTAATTTAGCACACCATATAATATATGTTGTGCTTAATTTAAATTTATCAGAAATTAGAGCTGGTAAAAATCGAAATTGCAGGTTTTCGCTTGACAACACCCATTTATATAGTCTAAAATGTAATTAACAATAAATATGATCATCATTTGAAAATCTTTATGTATTATACTTTTTGCATTAATTTAATCAAGTGAATTCAATATTATTTTGTTCTGCTCACTCCATTGATGCTTCTTTTGTAGACACAAAACTTCACCCATGACTGAAAACATAACATTCTTTACTATTATCAATTTAATCATAAATATAATAACTATGTTGTAGATCTGTAGCTTGGGTATTTATGTCAATCGTTAATAATAATAAAAATATAGAGCAAATTAGGGTAATTTGGGACAATTTGAGAATTTAGAACATCCAAAAACAAATCTTTTTATTTTAGGATAATTCGAAAACAAACTTTATTCCCAACTATAAAAAATAACCTTGGCCAAACAGTAAAAAAAAAAAAAAATTAAGTTCTTTCACTACGAACTATGATGATCATTGATTATCTATTCACAAAACCAGTAAATTTACTGTGCGTTATCTTAAATTTAAAGATTACTTTTAAACTAGGGATGTTAAAAGTCCGGTCCGGTCCAGTCCTGGTTAAGTCCTGGTCCTGAACTAGTTAGAAACTAGTTCATATTCCCAGTCTGAAACCGGTCTAAGCCTAGAGGTTTAACGTATAGAACAATTATGTGAATTGCATTGAATTCGTTCCAGTATTGTAATCACATTTAGATCGACGTAAATTAGCAAATCGGACAATTTTGAGATCACGAGATTATAGAACTAGCTTCGAACTAGTTTGAACTATCTCTAAAAAGTCCAAGTTCATTGTGGACCATTTAACATCCCTATTTTAAACAATAAACACTAGAGGAATGTTATTTATGTTATTGCAGCATTACACATTACTGTAATAGCATTATAATATTTAAATACAACAGCATTATGGTATTTCGCATTACGACATTGCAGTATTACGGCATTACGACACAAAGTAATTATGGCAAATAATACGGCACATGCCGTAACCATATAAATTTGCCAAATTAATCTACCAACAACACTAGGTATGCCTAATAAAGAAAAGAAAAATATAAAACGCTTACTCCTATTTTTAGACCGATCCGGACCGGTCTCAGGACCGGGACCGAATAACCATGAGACCGGTTAATAAGACCGATCCTTATTCGGTCTTTCTGGGACTGATCCATCCCCAAGAGTCTATTGGCACTGAGGATTGGTCAATTGATGATATCCTTTTTCATTCCTAAGTCAAATAGTAATTTATACAGTATATAATTAGTATACAGTTATAAATAACAAATAAATTAGTACAAAGTTTTATGAATAGAACATCTTATAGTTGCGAAACTTGCTTTTTTATTTTATAATAAAACGTATACTTTTACTTTCGTTATCATTGTTAAGATCGGAAATAATTGTTATTTACATGAATATATTGTACTATAAAAGAAGCTTAAGTTAGATTATTAAAGGATCGCAAAACTCAAATTTCACAATTATATTAGATCTTGAGATAATGACATATTTGTGATCTAATATATGGTTTAAATTTACCTTCAGCCTACCTTCAGCCCTTATCATAACATCGCACAATAAAAAACTCTACTGAGTTCTGTTAATAGATTCGATAGTTCGATAGTATATAGCAATAAATTATATTGAATGAATTATTAACTTGCGATTATTCAACAAATATTTATATATAGTAATGAATGAATATCACGGATCCCATCTCTATGTAGTACATTATTAACTAAGCCACTCAAGTGGCATGCCAAATAGGTTAAAGGCATGCCACTATTGGCATGTCCATGACACTGCCAGGCACCCTACTTGTAAGTAACCAAAAGATTAATTTTTTTTCAAAATTTTTTTAATGATTTGTTTTTTTAGAGGCGAATCTTAGAAGAATCCGGCTTTTTCCCCCGAACTTAGGTCATCACAAAATGAAGGGACATATGTAACGCATGTAATAGCACCTTCAATTCGAGCTGTATTAAAAGATCTTCCCTTCGGAAAATCTTCATATATTAGGATGGCTGAGAAGAAGAGTGTTGCAAGTTCGGAAAGAAAGGGAGAAGGGCGTTTAGGGAAAAAACCGGATATGATGTTTATTTTAAACCAAGAAGAGGTTTCATATGAACTCGTATATGCCGAATTCTCACGTTTAGTATGTACCGATTAAAAAAAAGAAAAAGATGATATCAAACTCTGGCGAGAAACAAATGATGGAATGGATTGGGTTCGCAATAAATGTAAACCGGCCAAAGGTAAGTTTGGAATTATTGGAATTCAGGTGGCCGGTAATGTTTTGAAACTTAACGTGCTCGTCAGAGATGAAGCAGATGTACATAGATATTATCATCTAAAATCGGTGGAAATTCCTGTTCAACCAACTAGTGAGGTAGTAGTGACAGAATTTATACACACTTTGTTGATACTTCGGGTAGGTAGTAACTTTTTACTCTTATTTTTCTGCTTATAACTAATTTATTCTCATTTTATAGAATATAATAATCGTCAATATGAGCTATATATTTCATGCACTTCCAAAAAGGAAGTCATGTGGAAGTGAAAAAAGTTCAAATGTATCTACCCCTCCACCATAATTGATATTTTTATTTTATATCATATTAATAAAGCTGGCTTGATTTCATATCCATAATCGCGTTTACTTTTGCATATGTATTTCGTGAATTTATTTATTTTATCGTTATCGATATATATTAATTCAAATATGATCAGCGAGTTCCTGACACAAATTTGAAGGCGTTGTATATGGTCTATGCTCTGCCCTAGCCCTAGCCCTTGCACTTGCACTTGCTTTTTGTAAGACACTTAAAAAGTCACAATTGTACAAAATTTTTTATTTTTGAGTAAAAAATCGTGCAGTTCATTATAGTATACTATTACCTGTTTTCATTATTTCTCTTTTTCTTTTTTTCCTTTTCGGATTTTTTGCCGCCCTGATGAATTGATAATCACAGATCGTCAAAGGGCAAAATGATCATTTCTAAATTTTTCTCTACTATATAATTCTGGATCTGTACGCTTTACCGGCCATATCCAAAAAACTGATCAAGTGTGGATCAGGGACCTGTGGATTTTGTGATTTGCTGTGATCGAAGCAAATCACAAAAATTATGTGGTTTACTGCGATTTGCTTCGATTATAGAAAATGCACTTTTCAAGAATACACGATGAAATTATTAGCAAATAATAAAATATTTTATATTTCAATAGTTCAACGAAATAAAAATATCATGGGCTATATATTTGCGCATAAAAACCAAATTTTTTTTTTAGCGCAACTTTTTTCAAAAAAAATCGTAAGTTACTTATTAGATTTTAAATTTTATACAAATTCGGACTTTTATTGTTAATCAGCAGTAAAACAAATAACTTGCTGATATCGAAAACATAATTTGTTAAATTATATCACAAAATCCACATGTCCCTGGTGTGGATATGATCAATTATGACGATGACTATTCGAACAACATCTACTTATGGCATTCTGGATTAAAGTTACTTATTAAAGTTACTTACCGTTACTGATCACGGTATTCTGAATTAGTTATTTCCTGATGATTATTATTTCCAGATTTTGAATTAAAGTTACTTCCTGAGTACGACCATCATTTAATTCTGAGTTCGTACTTTCTATATCATTTAATTCTGGGTTTGTACACTTCTATCTATCTACCTATCTATCTATCTTCTATATCATTTAATTCTGAGTTTGTATACTTCTATATATCTTTGTAAGCTTTGATGTTTTTGATTCCCAAAAATGTGATCTGAAAATGTGATCTAAGTGTTATTGTAAATATCATGTTTATTTTGTTAATTCTAATGATATCCTTTAAGATAATTCAACTTCATTTTATTTTTTTATAATTTGATTATTGGTTAGTCGGTTTAAATATTTTTGATAGATTGATGACTTTAAAAAGACTAGATGCGTAATTCAAGAGAAAGGTTGTCATAATTGAAATTTTTATGCCAGGTGACCATTATGAGTGTAAATATAACCACAGAGATATTTAATCGAAAAATTACATGACCACAATTTCAAGCTCTTGTACAAAACCAATAAATGTATCTTATTCTCTTTAGAATTATTAGACAAAGTAAAAATTGGAGCTTGGGATGTTGATTGTTTACTAACATTTGTTTTGTATTTTCTGAATATACACTTGCCCGAGTTTCCGATAAAACCTTTTCAGGCAATGCACTGATTTCTTTAATGTCTCCAATTGGAAAAGAGCACACCAGCACTTAATAATAAACCAAAGATTTTATTAGGGGAAGACACGTTGGTTAATAATATTATCAAAAATGTCTTTTACTCTGGTGCTCATAAGGGCATTGAAACTCTTATAATGCCAAAAGTGTACTACTTATTTGCTGGTAATACAAACCTATAAAAAGAAATGGCCAATTAGAGAACACAAATTTCAGGTATTTCGAATCAGCTCAACATAGAATCCAAACACATGCAAAAGAAAAAAAAAAAGCAAAGAAAGCAAAAATACTCAAAAACTAATGTTTAAATTGACTTTTGTGAACTAATAAAAAATAATGAGAATGAAATTTTATATATAAGAAATTCCAACTTATCATTAAAGCTCACAATTCTAATGTCCTAATTCTAAACTTTTATTTTTACGCACTTAGTTTATTTACAAAATTTATTTCCTTTTTTGGTTCATGTTATGGTACAAATAAGTAAATCACAGTTGGCATAGCTACTAGCTCAAGTATGGCTATGAGATTGAAGTCTTTCTTCTTTTTTATTATAAGATCACAATATAGATGAGGGTGGCCCCATCTTCACCAACTTGCTCTAAATGCCACTATCCAATAATTTCATAATAATATACTTTAGTGTGCCAATTAAAAAGTATTCTGTATATCTCTCGGAACATTCTATGTTTGTTTTAGAAAGTTTCCATTGATTTCAAATCCAAGCATCTTTCTTAAAATTTTTCATGTTGGCTTAGAATCTATTAGCAAATTGTTCAAACTTTTATATAGACAAGATGACTCTTGGGCATTAGTATTTTGATCACAAAAACAGAAGGCCTGCTTCACTATGCCTAAGATATCCATAGATTTATTGATTTGCAAGGGGATATCAACTTCAGAAAAGAAAGATTCCAAGATTATATATTGTTTTTTTAATGAAATAACAGAAGTATCAGTGGCTTTTCGCTTCTTTTCTACTATAGATAATGCTGTGGAACAGGATAATGCAAAAAAGGAATTAATAGAACAATAATACCATTTGCTATTATATACAGTACCCAGTATAACAAGTACATGATTATTATAATTGCCAAGTACTAACAACCAGGGTGGCTATCGATTTTATGAGTCATGTGTGTTGTGCCACTTGCAACTATTGTTGCAAACAAATCAGTATTAGATTTATAGCACTATAGCTAAAAAAAAATTTAACCTTGCATTGTGTATTGTGCATATTGAGCATTGAACATTGCTGGCGCCACTACATGACATGTAGAATCGATAGCCCAAGTACTGTATACAGTAAAAAAAAAAATAGAAAATTCTGTTAAATTTAAAACAAATTGGCCTTGGTTTTTACACAAAGCATTATTTAATACTTTTTGATTCTTCCCTATTTTCTTCCATAAGTGATCAACTTCACTGTATCAGTCTTTTTTTTGAAAGACAAAACAAAGTAAGATAATTCTTAGCAAGCATAACAAGATAAAAATCAAAATAAAATAGCAAGATGCAGGAATAAATCATTAGTCAGTTTTTGTTGTATACAAAGGTACATAAACTTTTATTCAGGACCAGTAACTTTTACCAAAAACTTTTATTGACATACTTCATAAGGTTTACTAAAATAAATATAGTAAATGCATCCACTTCAGTATTTGCAAGAATAAAAGTTACTTTACTCTTATCAAAACAAACACAATAAGATACAAAAATCTTTATTTATTTAAATTTAACATCTTTATTATACTTACATTTTTGTTGTTTAAAAGCTCTTTGGCAATATTGCCAACCTCTTCTAATATGTGTGGATCCTTTTTTATAGTATATAACATATTATAAAATGCATGATGGGCTATCCTTATATTGGCATTTTTGCAATTATTAATTATATGAGAAATGAAATGAGCAAGTGACCATTTCTTATATGAAAAGAATTTAAAATATTTGTTATATAGAATATTGTTAGAGGCAAGAGAATTGATACAAATATTTTTATCAGACATATTGAAAGTTTATATATGTAGTTAAAGTAGAAAGTGAACGAACAAACTTATCTTTTTGCCTTTTATAAAATTAGAAACATATTAATTATAGATGTGTATCAAATAAATTATACAAATCCAACAAATAATGTCACATGTTTATTAGCCAATCAAATTGTGAATTTCTAAAAATGAAAAAGTGTAAGGATTGGCTGAAGTTAGAGATAGTTAGCACTAGTTTGAGTTTTGTATTGTCTTGATATCTATATAGAGAAAAATTTTTATTACACAATTGTAAAAAATAATTTTCATTACACAATTGTAAAAAAATACTCAATAGATTAGTGAGATGAGAAGAGATGCACTGCTAACTGCTCAAAAAAAATTTTTCGCTAGTTGAACAGAATATCTTTATTATAACAAATTTATTTTTTAATTACTAAGCTGATCAGAGCAATAAAATCAAAAGATCCAGTGTAAGTTAGTATCCCTAACACACTGTACCAGGTTGCTGCTTCGGATGATTATATGGTAGTTCAGAATAAATATTTGGAAGATTTTTGAAGTTTGATTTAGCAGTTAATTTTACATATTTCTTTTTATCAATTATGTGCTTTATACAAATAATTTTACATTTATGAATATTTAAATAATTTTATACTATTATCAACTTTGCTTGCTCATGTTAATGTTTTTCAATAAATTAATATTTTCTTTAAAGTTTTTTTTTTTTATGTGTTTTTATTATAGTTAGGTTAATATCCTACACTTTCTTTATTTGTTGTACTTGAATTTTTGCTTCACTTTGTAATGATTCAGCCTTTATTAGTTATAGTAGAATTTCATTGATAGAGATAAGCAGTCAGTTTTTCCAATAATAAAAATTCAGCTTTTTTCATGATTTTTCTTTGCCATGTAGTGGTCTTTGACATTTCCTGAAGTTCGCTTAACCAATTTAAAGCACCTTTTTTACTGTTAAGATCCACATATAAATCCATATTAAGCTATCTAATATTTATATTTTTAGATTTAACTATTAGTTCAAGTTTAGTATAATTTTTATTTTATAAGTATTATTAAATAGAAGTATTTTTTAAAATAGAGTAGGTAGGTGTAGTGACTTAGTGTAGTAGTCTAGTTGTCACTCTCTTCAAGTGGCAGTTCTAGAGTTCAAATCTCACTGGCGATAATATTTGAAAAATAGGCCTGTGTTCAGTTAATGGCTATGCTTATTAGTTTGATCTACTGTAGAATTAAATCTCTAACTTCAGTTATACTATCTAGTAATGGGAGCTTTGGTGCAATAAATTCAAAGAACTAATATGCTGTAATTTGCAGCAAATAGTACCTCTTTGTTAGTATATCTCCATGATTTGTACTAGGGGTTAATCAAGTATATGTTGTAAATATAACTGTAAAAGACTCAAGTATATCTAAAATGTATACTAATTGGTTAAAACTTTCGAGGCTCTGATTGGTTCTAATTTATAAATAAACTTTCTTCTCGAATTGTAATCTAAGTATACTTTCTATAGACAAATTTTACTAATATGTTTTATTTAATTATAAAAATTAAAATTAATAGCAAAATATAGTTTTTTTTTTCAATTTAAAGCATGTATACAGTATGTTTGAATTTCTTTATTACACTATACTTGTATTTCTAAAAAAAAAAATTTTTTCACTAAATTGGTCTTTAGACCATTTAAAATTTGTTAAAGTTTTTAAAGCCAGGAGTTGAAATAGTTTTCTACTTTCAAATTATTATAATATCTATCAAAATTTGTTTCCAAAATCTGAAATTAGATTATTTTTAAAAGATTGACTAGAGTTTTCATTATTATTATAATTTCTAATTGATTCATTTAATTCTTATTCAATTTACTAGACCCTTTAAAGTTTTTATTTGATTCACTAAAGTCTTCACAGTTTCTATTCAATTCACTAGACCCTTTATAACTCTCATAATTTTCTTCCTTACCAAAAATACAAGACATAGAACTGTTCACTATTGATAAATTATAATTAAAAATTTGTCTGTTTCCAGAATAGGGATGGGGGCACAGGGCTAGAGATGGGCACTATGCGCATGAATGCATGCATGCATGCATGCGTGCATGCGTATGGTACAAGCAATTTTATGATAATATGCCCATACAAGAATAGTTAA